AGAGAGAGAGAGAGAGAGAGAGAGAGAGAGAGAGAGAGAGAGAGAGAGAGAGAGAGAGAGAGGGGGATTATGCTTGATGATGGCGTGCCGCAACCGAAGTCTGGTGATTCTGGTAATGACGTCGAACTGTTCTTCTCTGATTGTTTGAAATGGTGTAACTCAGTCTGACTGCGCTTCTCTGATTGTTTGACGTGAGGACGGACACGATGGGATGAAGGACAGGTGATAGAAGAACAACATACTTCGATATATATTATATATACTTGACTAGATTAACGAGATCAGTTTATCATGGTCTACCCACTGGTGGAAGGTGTGTTATGGGGTGATGCTCCATGGACGAGGATGCAGTTATAACTGCTCGGCTATGTTTTAAAAAAGAAGCAAACAAAGTTGTAAGTCTGTGGCGGTTCCAGATGCACTTGATGTCATTGTGGTTTTATGTAAGCCAACTCCATTTTATCTTGAAGATCTAAAAGCAGGAGAAGCTCCTTACATGATTTTCTGTTTTTATGTGTTGCAGCTGAAGGCGCTTTTTGCATTGCAGGAAATTTTTCAGAACCGCTCTGCGAATGAGCTGGTTCCTCTTTTACATTCATGGGTATTGTCTCTTTTCTTCTTCCTCTTTTTCTTTCTTTTTCTCGTATTTCTCTTTTCTTCTCCCTCTTTTTTTTCTTTTCTTTTTCTCGTTGTCTCTTTTTTCTTCTCCCTCTTTTTTCTTTCTTTTTCTCTCCCTCACTTCTGCAGAATCTGCTATTCCCTACTACTCAGTTCTTTCATTATACCATCGTTTCCTTCGTGGTGCCTGGGAAGTGTGAGTTTGTGTTCTCCAATCTCCAGTCCTTTTACATAGTTGCTATCCCTCTGTTCATACCCCTTTTGTCAAGCCCCTGTTCTGACAACCATCTTCTTTACCCCTCTTGCTGTTGTTTGGTTCTTTTTGCACTTGTGCTTTACATCCGCTGGCATCCCTTGTGCTTTCCTTTGTATTTTCTGTCTGCTGACAGCTACCGCCTTCATCAGTATGGAATGCATGGCCGTTGTTACTGTCTCTAGACTGAAAGGTAGCCCAAATACAGGTATCATGATTGTGCGTTCTATTCAGGTTAAGACAGTAGTCATTTTAATGGTGTTTGACAGATCTTTGTGCCAGGCTTCATTCATCTTCCAGTCTCTCATTGTTGTACAGATGCCTCTGCTCCGTGCATCTGCAAAGACTGACATTGTTATGCTTTGCTGTTGGGGCTCACTAACAAAAGGGGTTGGGAAAGAAGGGGTGACTCACAAGATGGTTCACATTCGGCTGAGGTCGTGAGATGCTTGGCATACGATGGAGGCTATGTCAGGAGGGTTTGCAGAGAGGGGTTGCAAGATGCGCTGGGGAGGGAGAAGGTGTTGTGAAGAGAGGGGTTGCAAAATGCTTTGCATGAAAGAGAGGGAGGATGGTAGGGCGGAGCTTGATTTCAGTCGCTCATCATCATACTTGATTGTCTAGTTATTCACTTGGTAGTTGCTTCTGCCAGACCACACACACAAGGAAACTTCCCCAAGGCTTGCCAACCTGGGCGCGCAGCCACACCCAAGGATGCTCTGCAAGGGGAGGCGAAGTGCGGTGGGGTGACACATGATAATTTGCGTGCTAGCACGGGGTACAGAGAGTGTCCGCAGGGGTTCTAACACAGTTTGCAGGCTGTGAGCAGTGAGGGGGACCGTTAAGGGGGCAGTTGCGAGATGCCTTGAGCATAAGGAAGGGGGGCAAAGGAGGGTGTCATCAGGGAGGAGGTTGGGAGGAGGAATGTGGAGTGTGCCATCCAGGTGTGGGTGGGCCTACACACACACACACACACACAGAGAGGGAGAGAGAGAGAGAGAGAGAGAGAGAGAGAGAGAGAGAATGCTGAAGCAGTTGAATCAATAGACAAAGATGGGTAAAGAAATTAACCTCACTTCTGATTTTCTCAGGATAGGTCTGCCTGGCCTGTACACTTGCAATATGGAAAACAAAAGTAGGAGATGATCTGGCATGACAATTGAGGTACCTGTTATGTTCACAAAATAGCCAATGTGCGAATGTAAGATAATCTTGCGGATGAAAAGTGCGACGTACTTCACAAAAATAGAGGACACGTGACTGCAGCATGATATTGCAGCACAAAGGTGAGGTACGTGTGATTTTCCTAAAAATAGTGCAAGTGCCCCAGAATAAAGCGGAGCCGCGACCATAAGGTCCCACTTTTTTGCTAGAACCCAAGAATGCCATAGTTGAGCTTCCCATGAGCCGATACCTGAAACTGTTACTGCGTTGCTGATCTTTGAATATCCCTGTCATTGTGCTCAGCAGCTGAGGCGATCTCTCGGCAAATGTGCAGTGTTTCAATGTGTTTGTTCACTGTCTGGTCTATCTTATTATTGGGCCAAGATTTGAATGGGCCTCTGGTTGGGTAGCATGGCTGGGATCATCATGCTATATTTCATGGGTTAGAATGATCCGGCAAGATTGGAATGGACCTCTGGAATAGGCCTGGGCTATGTTTCATGGGATAGAATGATCCAGAGAGATCATCTGGGAAGGAGCTGGAAAACAGGCGGAAAATGAGCCATTGTTGGAGGAATGAAGAGAACAGACTTGTTGGAGCCCTCCGTTCAGACCCTGTCTGTGTGGTGCACCCGGATCATTTGGGCCCTGAAATGTGGCTTAGTGTCTGCCCCTGCTATCCGGGTCTTTGATGAATTCCTTGTTGTGATGGCAATTTTTAGCAAGGTTACCCTTAACTATGACTCACAATGGTTTTCCATCAGGAACAGCATGCATCTGATATGGACTGGCTCCATCCTCTGTGCTTGTGCGTGCATGTGTGTACGGTGGGTGGGTGGGTGGGGGTGGGGGGGCGGGGGGCGCACGCACATCTGGAATTGGTGTTTTTGGTGGTGCTGGATATTTGTTGGAATTGAGGAGAATAGGTGTTCGTTTACAAGAGATTGGCAATAGACACGAGCAGACAAGTAAGAGAGAGTGCAAATGTGGCATTGGGGTGCTTGGCCCGATCAGTAGGGTAAGTGCTTTTGGAGGAAGGCTTGCTGCTTGTGGAAAGCGATGCCTTTTCAGGTTTATCAAATTTTGTGGTTCGGAGTCTCTCTTGTAAAATTTAAGGAATTGATGAAAGATGTGTGGGGGGACATGGCGCTCCATGTTCACGCCGGATTGCTCCTATTACATAGGGGAGCAGAACACCGTTATGCTGTTTGGCAGTCTTATGCAGTGTGCATTACAGTAATGTTCTTTCTTTTCTAAAAGGGCGACGGCCTTGAGATACTATCGTCGAACTGACCAGCCCCAGGTAATTCAGAAGTTCCATCCATCGCGTGCCATTCATATTCAAACACTGATCTGTACTTCAACAGTTTATGAGTGTACCAACTTAGCAAATGTATTATCCAATTGGTAATTAGTGCATATTTGCAGGGCTGTGGTGATGGTTATGTGGGGGTTTGTGGTGGGAGGTTGTCAAGGCCCAAAGACTGGTCGTATCACAGTTATGTTTTCGGGGTTAGTACCTCCTGAAGCGTTGATTTGAACTACCATAGTAGGACCATGATGGATTCATTCCCGTTACGGTGGAGACATGGGGAAGCCCAGCCCAGGGCTTAGACATCCTGTAATCTAGCATGTTAGTGCTTCACTTCTGTCTTGACATCTTCATTTCCATTTTGGCACTGTTATAATGCTATCATAGTTCCTCAATTCCTGTTCAGTCTCTCTTGTTCTGGCTAGGCTTCTGAGTTAGAGAACTCGCGAGAAATGAAAGTATTGCACTGTGCTTCAGCACAGTGACAATGGTTGTAATCTGGTAGAAAACTTGCGATGAATGTGATGGATTGTTCTTTAGTGTGTGTGTGTGTGTGTGTGTGTGTGTGTGTGTGTGTGTGTGTGTGTGTGTGTGTGTGTGTGTGTGTGAGTGATAACCCCAGTTACCCCACACAATTTTTCAACAACCAACGTATTATCCTGCATACACTTGGCTCACATAGATAGACTCTGTGTGTGTGTGTGTGTTTGTGTGTGTGTGTGTGTGTGTGTGTGTGTGTGTGTGAGAGAGAGAGAGAGAGAGAGAGAGAGAGAGAGAGAGTAGGATCACAGAATGCTGTTGTGGGAGGAGATGAAGAGGGGACGGAGGCAGATGGTATATGGTGTAAACCCGGGAAACGGTTTTCTGTACTTCGGTGCGATCTGACAGTATCTGAATTGGAACTCTCCGTCACTTTACATGTGCGCACGTGCGATGATTTCCTACAAATGTGGTTGGCTCCTTGAGGCCGTATGCTTGATTGACTTTCGGAGCATGCCAAGTTTCTCTGCTTCTACCTTTTATGGGCAACATTCTGCCATATGCACCAGGTCGCACTGCACTGCAAGGGTAGGCGCGCTGGGTCCGCTTCTTATCTTAGCAATTTAGGAATGGCTTGCTCTTGTTTGCGCTTAATTCCTCTTGTTTGCCCTTGTTTGCTTTTGTTTGTTCTTGTTTGCTCTTGTTCCCAGAATGGCGGTGGCGAAAAGCAGCAGGGGTTAAGAAATGCTTTTACTCTGGTATCGACAATTGTATTGATTTGTCGCGCTATGCACTCTGGAACTGGGTTAAGAGATCATCTAACACTTCCGGCATTTCTTTGACTTGGTTCCTTTGTGCTCCAGGCGCAATCTTGGACCTCATCTAAAGTCTCTAATGGGGGCCTGGTGGGTGGCGCAGTTCGACCCGTGGAAGGAAGTTGCCGAGGCAGCGAGAACTGGTTTCCAGGTAGGTTCACTGTAATTTACGCATTTATCAATCTGCTGTTCTCCATCAGCTAATTAGGTCATCTAGTTATTCTGAAGCATCTTGTGTATGGTGATTGGCATGGACTTTTGGAGGACCCAGGGCCTGCCTGTCAATCTTTTCTCTTGCCCTCTATCTACACCAATATCTTCTAATAGTGTACAGTCCTAGTGTTTTAGAATTGCAATGATCCGCACAGAATCAGTCTGAGATTTCTGCTGTTGTCTGAGTATTGCTGCTTGACGAACTGATTTGCTGAGATTTCTGTGAACTGTGTGAGTTTGCTGTGTGCATGCATGTGTAAGTCCCAGTGTGATGATTGCTGTGCGGATTACAGTCTGTGTGCTTGTTCTGTGTTTTTTGTGTTCCTGGGAGGGGTAGAGTTTGAATAAGGAAACCACATGGCCAAGACTGAAATTGGGATGGGACTGACTACCAGTAGAGGCTCGGATGGACAGGGACCAACTAGAGGGCGAGTAGTACCTGGCAATGATTTTCCAGTGGCTTGGGAAGACCAGTAGGCCCGGTGGCTTACCGCGAAGGTCATACGTGGTCAGGCCCGAATCTAGATATCCAGTAGGCTAGATTCAGGCCCTGAGGTAGACTTAACAGGTACTTCAGGTAGGCCTAGTGCGGTAGACGCGGTGCCTCAGCCAAAGAGAGAGAGAGAGAGAGAGAGAGAGAGAGAGAGAGAGAGAGAGAGAGAGAGAGAGAGAGAGAGAGAGAGAGGAACCGTCATTGAGGGATGCACCTTGGTTATGGTTGACTGTCATCTTCACTTCTTTGATCGACTGTCATAGAGGGACACACCAGTGTGGGTCCTGCTTGGTCTTGGACATCTTCTGAGAGTGGCTATGGTGGGAAGGGATAAGACTGGCATAGTAGTGTTTGCGTTGTCCTTTGAACATTCATGATGAGTATGGATGTTCAGCCATAGCCCTGGATGCTCGAAGAGAGAGAGAAGTGAGGTTAGGGCCGAAAGGCGGTGTCTTGAGTTGATGGCAGTAAGGGGGAACGGTCGGAGATGGTTCCTGTTAGGTCATGCATTTGTTCTGGTATTCAAACCACCAGTACTTCCTGATAAATCGGTGTGTTAACGGTCAGCTATTGCCACAGTGCTGCGATGGTTTGTTTCGAATGAATATAGCCCATATCGGCCGGCCCGTTCATCCCAGTGCTCCCCGGCGCGTTAACGGCCGAATTATCAGGAAGTACTGCTGGTTTAATTTGTTATGAATAGTAGTAAGGAAGAAAAGAGGGTCCATCCTTGGCCCTCTTTTCCTTGGCTCCGTGTCGAGTTTGGTTCGTCTGGGGATGGAGGGCCATGGTAGAGGCTAGGGGTGGGGAGTGGGGTGAGGAGTGGGGTGGGGTTGGGGTCCTCGCTCCCCCTCCACCTTCCCCACATTTCATCTCCACCACGTCCTCCACTCTGGCCAGCCCCGATGTTCGACACTGTTGAGCTGGTGGTCAATCTGGGAGTGGCGGGCTGTGGGAGAGGCCTTGGGCCAGGAGTGGGTGCGGTGGGAGGGCAGCACTCTTGCACCCTCGTCCCCCCTGCTACATTGCGGCCTGGAGTGAGGAGATGGGGAGGGGTTGGGGTCCTGGCTCCCCCTCCACCTTCCCCACGTTTCATCTCCACCACGTCCTCGTCTCCGGCCAGCCCCAATCTTCGACACTGTGTTGAGCTGGTGGTTAATCTGGGAGTGGCGGGCTGTGGGAGAGGCCTTGGGCCGGGAGTGGGTGCGGGCAGCACTCTTGCACCCTCGTCGCCCTGCTACATTGCGGCCTGTCTGCACAGAACAGGGGCCGAATGGGACTGTGGGATCTGCAAATGCTATGGCCTGTGGGGAAAAGAAGAACAAAAAAAAAGGAGAGAAAATGTAGACTCTTGTGGCTGTACCCCTTTGACCACAGCAGTTGATTTTTGTCCAAGGCCATTGGATTCATTAATCTAAGCACGCTGAGTCTATTTACAGCCAGATACTGGAGGGAACCTTTTCAATATTTTCTGGTTACCTAGATGACATGATGGGTCAATTATTTGCTTTATTTATGTTAACTGTAGCTGCTGCAGAATCTGCTGTTGGGGTCGCTATTCTTGTTCTTACTTTTCAAAACTGAGGCACTATTGAAATCTACCATAGGTCCGGCGCTCTACTGCGGTGTGCGGAGCAGTGCACTATGCGCAGAAAAGTGGTGTGTGTGCGAGTGAAATAAGCCGAGTACTTGTCAAGTTCAACCTCGCATACATCAATGAACATTCACATGCGAGTTCACACGCGAGAATCCAAATTGAGATACAATCAACACTTGAAGATGTGGTCTCCAATATTATTGTCAATATACAAGAATGTTCGTCTCCAGTGGCTCTGCCGCACACACACGAAATGGATCTCAACCAGATAGCGGCTATGGCTTCTCCCCTCTTCTCTCTCTCTCTCTCTCTCTCTCTCTCTCTCTCTCTCTCTCTCTCTCTCTCTCTCT